TAAATTTTTATTTTTTATTTTTTCTTTGTATATATATACAAAAGAAGCCTACAATTTTAAAATGGGTAAATAATCATAAAAATGGATTAACCAAGTAGAATGTTTCAGTGAAGTACTAAAACCCAAAATTCCACCCATACATAAACCTTAAAATATGTTTCGACTTCTATCTGATTTTCTTGTGAAATTAACTCTTTAATAAGGGTACACATTATCTTACAAGAAGCTTATTGCAATTAAATTAACATAATACGTATTAATTCGTGATTTTGTAATTGTTTTGTGGACAATTAGTTTACAATTCGATCAGTAACCTTAGTATATGCGCAGATAATTGCTATATCGATTTCATATCAATTTAACTAAAGCATCTGATGGTAATTATGCATATTTAATAATTATGTATAACAAAACTGTAAAATTTATTAAGACTACACGTGAAAAAGTCTACTAATTTTATTCTTTTGGTAAAATAAAATATTCGAAAAATTCTTTTTGGTTTAGAATTGAAAAAATGTTGACATGCCTATGCAGTGATATTGTTATAATGCGAAGTTAAACATTAAAGTAAATTAAGATGGTACTAGTTGGAGCAATTACGAAATAAAACATAAATCCTGCACACGATGCTTTTAAGGGATAAAAGCCCTTTGTGAAAGAAAACATCAAAAAGCTCTTTTGCTGGTGACTCTCCTTTGAAAAATTCTCTTTCTTCTTGAAAGTTAATTATTAATAAAGATGCCGTATTACTGCCGAAGAAAAATCTTATACTCTCTCTCTCTCTCATTTTCTGTTCCTTTCTTATTGTCCTTTTTTATTTTCAAGAAAAAAAAAATGATACACATTGGATATTATCATCAAATCTACATTCACTTCATCATATAGGTCCTATAAAATAAGTAAGCTATAAACCTATAACAAAAGAAAGGCAATAAAAAATTACTTTTCGTTTTAGTCTTTTCGAAAAATCCTGCCTAATAACTTTAATTATATTTAGATTGAAATTTAGATACCCAAGTACTTATCATAATCATTTTTAACAATTTATTTTGTTAACAATGCTAAAATTAAACTATAAGGTAGTTGGAAATTCTACTATGGTGTTGATTGTCATTTGTTTATTAATTTATTCATTACGTGCTCGTTAAAATCAGTTTACAACTTTGCAAGTTTGCATGTCATTGGTAAATTAAGCAATTATTATTACTGACGTTTTTTGAATTTAAGTTGATTAACGACTAATTGTTTTCTTAACACCTGTATTTTCTAGTTAAATTTTAATCAGATTATCGTAGTAATGCCCTGTGTAATGAAGTGGTTTATCAGAAACAAGCAAAACGCACTAAAAAGTAATAAACAAATGAGTCCCTTCACTCATAAAACATCTACCAATCAATCGTTGTTGTTGTTCATATGTTAATAGTTATTGTTAAAAATAAGTTTTATCATTTGAGATACGATTTACATTGTCTGGACCTTCCTCATTACCAAAGAGATGTTATATAACTTTTTTTGTGTAGTATTCAACTGATTAATATATATGTAGTTACGTATTCATTTTCTGAGATAATGCCAACGAAATTTTGTTACAAAAATGATTCTTTGATGGATTAGAAAAATTTCTCAAAAGATCACAAAATATGTTACGGGTGTAAACTTGTGGTAAGCATTAATTAGTTTTATGTTAACTAATTAAATATTTTAAGTAAACAAATTAATAATTCGTATGCAAGGTACAGATTTCTAAGAACGATATGTCGGTCTCATGTTCGTATAATTGATTTTTAAGACGATCAAATTTTAGTGGTAATTAGTCTGTCTGACCGATTGTTATGTAAGATCTACGAATATCTCGTCGAACTTCCAAAATTTTCGTATCACCTCTCAAGTACACTCAGGCAAACAAAGATAAAAATGAGAAAATCATTATCAGCCGAAACGTCTGTTTAATCATTAAATAAAGAGTATTTAATTGATAGTTAATTGTATTGCGTGCACAGAATTCAAACGCAAGACTTTAAGCCGTGTTATCGGGTTATCTTGAGATGATAATGGCAATACGAAGGCCAATTCTTACTTTCATATGTGTTCCAGTATTTGGACACTAACCTACACTAAACTATGTAAATAAACACATACCGACACTAAAAATAAATGACATCTATGTCTCTTTCATTTGTTTACACTGCAAGCGTGTGGAGGTAAACCAATAAAATGCGGTTGTGCAACAAATAAAAAAAAATAAACATCGACCCCCTTACTACATTGTTATACCACTTTCAACTGTTTCTCCTATTTTACTTTATATTGGGATTTAAAACATTTTTTATTGTTTTCTGTGTTTGCTACATTTATGGTTTGTATCAAATTAATGGGTTAGTCATAAAATTTGATAATTTTGATTGCCTGGATATCAGGGCGACTTTAAATGCTAGTATATTATCGACGATTAGTAAACGACAAAATATGTCCGAGATGTAGCTTAACGACTTCTTAATAATTTATGGTATTTCTATTAATTGCAAGAAGAAAATTACCGGAACACCTTTCACAAATCACCTGTAATACTATGCATGTATATACAAAACTCCTTTATCCTTTATTGTGTAGTGATAAGTAGATTTTAATGAATAAAGAAATTAAAAACGAAGATTTTATGATCGATTACGTTTAAGAAAATATAAGAGTATCTAAAAACGATAACATTAATAACCAACTTGTTAATACGAATATTCTATTCGATATCCAAATAGTTCTTGTTTAAATTTTTAATTTATAGCATTAGGTTAGGTTACGGTAATGCGCAAAGGTGTCAATCCGTCCAAATTTGGACGGGTTCAACTAGTTTTCCATATAAGTTAGTTTTCAACGAAAGAAATGGTTTGAGTTATTCTGTTATTAAATAGAAGGCGCCTTATGTAGATTGAAGGGACAACAGAGGGCCGTGTTCTTAACCGATTACAAGGGTTGTAGCGCAAACTTTTCGGGGTAGTTTGTTCTGAGATAAAAGTGTGAAAATGTTTGGTCACGTTATCGCTTATCACGGGAAGTTGATGGCAGTTGTGGAATATACTTATCCGGTTGTATGGTTCCTTTTTATTTAGAATTATTGCATCAGGTCAATACAGCTGTCTCAATTAGTTTTAGTGTTCGAAACAACGAAAACAAAAAGTACAGAACAAAAAAATATCGATAAAATGATAACGAGTTATTATGTTGTTGTTTATCTACAAATAAGAATAAGGGATGTTCGCATCTTTATTACTTAGATATCTACTGCTTAATGTTCTATAATATTTAAAACTGACTGACTTCTAAAGAGAAACAAATTACAACTACATTTGTCTTATTAGAAATTCAATTTTATGTGGAATTGTATACTGTTTCACTTATTGTTTTAGCTAATATACGGGGTTGTTTGTAAAGTAACGTGGTCTATGATTTGTGGGAGCCAAACAGCGCCATTCGAATTAGGATCAGTAAAACAATGAAAGCAAAACGTTATGAAAAAACACCATAGTCCAATGTAGTATTTAACTTGGTAAGGGATGGGACGCAGGAATAGGGGTTTTAAAACACCATATTATGGATTGAATATGACATTAATTATTATGTTTAATGTTTAATTACTGTCACCGCAATTGTTTCGTTGTATCAGGTGATGAAATACAATAAATAGATCATATCACATAGTATCATTTCTTGATGATGATACTGTATATCGAAACAGTTGCTGTTGTGTGATACTAACTATAGAAGTACTAGATAACTATTCGTAGAACATTACAAAGATAAAATCCTAACGTTAAATTCCGGAAATGGATGTTCGAAGTACTTTAGTCTTTAGTTCTTTTTAGACCCTGAAAAAGGTAACTTTGTTAGGTACTGAAAATTACTTCAGACGTATATCAGTATCGTGTTTTGCAGTTGAGGTTTGGTTTTCTAGAGACTTACATGAGATTACTGTACGATTAACAGTAAAAAGCTAAAATCCCAACGCTAACACACGAGACCGAACGTCCGAATTACTTCGGTTTTTAGTTGTTTTCAAGCCCTGAAGAAGGTAACATTGTTAGATACTGACTGAAAATTACTTCAGACATATATCAGTATCGTTTTTTGACGTTGGGATTTGGTTTTTTAGAGATCTAAATCAGATTAGTGTTATTAACAGTAAAAACACTAAAACACGATACTTTGGTCTTTAGTTCTCTTAAGGTCCTTCAGGAGGTAACCGTGATACTTAAAAGTACATCGTGGTTTAGCGTTGGGTTTTGTAGAGATCTAAATCAGATTAGTGTTTAATTAACAGTAAAAACCTAAAACCCCAACACTAAAACACGATACTTTCGTCTTTAGTTCTCTTAAGGTCCTTAAGAAGGTAACCTTGTTAT